ATATATATATATATGGAATTCTGGAAGAAATAAATAAAGAAATGATTAGTTGGAAGTCAGTAGAGCAATTTGACTTGCTCATGATTTTAGACTTTTCCTCAAAGTGATGATGTGGTGACATCCACAAGAGACAAGGAATTTCTATCAGAGAAAGGATGAGTGAAGAGTGTGGTACACTCGGGATGTTTCTAGGAAGTGACATGGTAAAGTATGAGAGGACAATTTTGCACCAGACAAACCTGCATTTAGGGAGCTCTAGACCATCAAGCAAGTTGTTAACATATCTAGACTGCTAGCACCTTGCAGTAAAAGTTGCAATAAAGACTGGGATTTCCATAAATCCTAGATGCAGATTATTCTTTCTTCTGTTTGCTTTCCTTGTTATGAATAGAAAATGATGCAGAGGTACATAAAAGATTATGAGAATCCACTAAGAGCTATTCACTTGCTCTTGTGAAATGATTACAAAATTAGCAATATCTTCTTACAAGTGCCTGATCAAGTATAGAAATCACGGACTTAAAGAAAGAGAAGATTTCAATGCCAGGTTATCATCAGCTTCCCCAAACTTACAGAGTACACTTTTAAGAGCTGCCCCCAGGAGCTTATTCTGTGTTCTACTTCATAATTGTGGGCTTATCCTGGAAGAGAAGCCAAGGGCATTCATTAATGATATTTCCAGTATGCAAAGACTCTGATAGCAGAATACTAGGAGAGCGTTACCATGTGTATTAGCTGAACTGCATGTTGACCCTTTACTTGGTGCTGAGTTCTGTATCTCTACTTCCTACACTGTTCCCTGTGGCTGTTATTCTTCATGTCCCAATATTGTCATAAAATATGAAAAGAAATACACTAACTTAATTTTGAAATTTATAAATATCTATGTAACTATAAGCAGGAGTACTTGTATATGAATTAATTTTATTTTTTTTCCAGGAGAGAGCATGAACACAGTCCCCCACTACCACAAATTATGCAGTTGAGTGTTCCACATTTGGGGAAACCACAGGAGTCAATACATCTGGAGAGCAACAGATAAGCCTTGCCCTGGGAAACCCACCTTCATGATGATGCTATTGCTCCTTCCAGGTAAAGTTATGAATTAGTTGTTAATATTAAATATATTGTATAGACATCAATTAGATATATATTGCCACAACTAAAATAATTAGTTGTAATGTGTAATTTTATAAAAATTCTTAGAAATTGGAAGACAGACATGAAGCCACAAAATTCATTATGATTTTTAACAAAGTGGACATTGTTAGAGCTGTTATGTGGGGGCATAGACTCTGAAATAATTAACTAAAAGGATGATAAATTAGAGACTGATCACTGCGCTCAGTTATGTGAGCAAATGCAAAAAAGAATGTGGGTGTGTAATGGATTGTGGGGTAATGAGACCAGTCTTATTAAAGCAGTTATTTTTCAGATGAAGGGACAATAGACAATTACTGAATTGACTTGGATCACAGAAGGCCATAATGGGCAGGTCTAGACCTTCATCATTCAGGGATCAGGGGGCAATAAGGTAACATTGGCAGTTGACCTTGGAGGCAATAGGAGACTGAGAACTGATAGGATAGAAAAGAAGGAATTCCAGATGCATCCTCTCTTACCTGACCAGGTAGCCAATTAAAAATAGTTCCATGTCTTTGAATTCAGCCAGTTGAGCACTGTGATAAGATAGATAAGTGCAGCATACAGAAGGGTTGTCTGAACCCAAACTGGAGTAAGGTTTATTCCTAGAATTGGTGAAAATTGAATATCTAAATATGAGATAAATTATGTGGGCTTTCTTTAAAGGGATTCTATTCAGCAAGATCAATTTCAACAAATTTTGACACA